AAGTGACTAGACAACAGGATAGATAATAGACAGTAGCAGCAGTATACTGTAGGTAGGGGTAAAGTGACTAGACAACAGGATAGATAATAGACAGTAGCAGCAGTATACTGTAGGTAGGGGTAAAGTGACTAGGCAACAGGATAGATAATAGACAGTAGCAGCAGTATACTGTAGGTAGGGGTAAAGTGACTAGACAACAGGATAGATAATAAACAGTAGCAGCAGCATATATGATGAGTCAAAAAAGTTAGCACAAAAAAGGTCATTGCAGATAGTCTGGGAAACCATTGGTTAACTATTTATCAGTCTTATGGCTTGGGGGTAGTTGCTGTTCAGGGTCCTGCTGGTTCCAGTTGGGTGCATTGGTACCGCTCCTTATGCGTTAGCAGAGAGAACTGTCTATGACTTTGGTGGCTGGAGTCTTTTACAATTTTTAGGGCCTTCCTCCTAGTCATTTAGAAAGGTTACCTTGGTGTTCTTGGGAACAGGGACTATGTCTGGGTCAGGGAGCGGTTGAACATGTCAGCGAAGACACTTACCAGCTGGTCAGCATGCTCTGAGTATGTATCCTGGTAATCAGTCTGGCCCTGCGGCCTTGTGATGCTCTGAGTATGTATCCTGGTAATCAGTCTGGCCCTGCGGCCTTGTGATGCTCTGAGTATGTATTATGGTAATCCGTCTGGTCCTGAGGCCTTGTGATGCTCTGAGTATGTATTATGGTAATCCGTCTGGCCCTGCGGTCTTGTCAATGTTAACCTGTTTAAAGATCTTACTCACATCAGCTACAGAGAGTGTGATCACACAATCGTCGGGAACAGCTGGTGCTCTCATGCATGTTTCAGTATTGCTTGCCTCGAAGTGAGCATAGAAGGCATTTACAGCCCATCTGGTAGGCTCACATCACTGGGCAGCTCGCGGCTGGGTTTCCCTTTGTAATCGTGATAGTTTGCAAGCCCTGCCACATCCGACGAGCGTCAGCATAGTAGGATTTGATCTTAGTCCTGTATTGATGCTTTGCCTGTTTGATGGTTCGTCGGAGGGCATTGTGGGATTTCTTATCAGCGTCCGGGTTAGAGTCCCGCTCCTTGAAAGCGGCAGCTCTAGCCTTTAGCTCGGTGCGGATGTTGCCTGTAATCCATGGCTTCTGGTTGGGATATGCAGGTACGGTCACTGTTGGGATGATGTTGTCAATGCACTTATTCATGAAGCTGGGGACTGAGGTGTTATACTCCTCAATGCCATTGGATGAATCCCAGAACATATTCCAGTCTGTGCTAGCAAAACAGTCCTGTAGCGTAACATCCACTTCATCGGACCACTTCCGTATTGAGTGTGTCACTGTTTGAGTTTTTGATTGTAAGCAGGAATCAGGAGGATAGAGTTATGGTCAGATCTGCCAAATGGAGGGCGAGGGAGAGCCTTGTATGCGTTTCTGTGTGTGGACTAAAGGTGGTCTAGAGTTTTGTCTCCTCTAGTTCCACAGGTGACATGCTGGTAGAAATGAGGTAAGATGGATTTCAGTTTTCCTGCATTCAAATCACCGGCCACTAGGAGCGCCACCTCTGGTTGAGCATTTTCTTGTTTGCTTATGACCCTATACAGCTCGTTAAGTGCAGTGTCAGTGCCAGTATCGGTTTGTGGTGGTAAATAGACAGCTACAAAAAATATACACTGAACAAACATTTTCAGCTTCCAGGTGTTGTGTACAGATCCTTGCGACATGTGGCTATCAAAAGGTGAGAATTTGCCCGCTGAAGTCGGTTACGACGCCAATCTGCAGTCAGGTCAAGAGCAAAGAGCATAACGATGAGCTTCCCTGAGACGGTTTCTGACAGTTTGTGCAGAAATCCTTCGGTTGTGCAAAACCCACAGTTTCATCAGCTGTCTGGGTGGCTGGTCTGAGACGATCCCGCAAGGTGAAGAAGCAAGGAGGTGGGCAGAGCCAAGTACGAGCTGGCGAGAGCCTATTGGCGCGCTCTAGCATGTATTTGCATATTTCTGTTAGGGAACGCCTACTCTGTGAAGTGCGTGTCTGCAATGATTCAATTAGCCCTTGCACTCCTTCTAAACAACGCAATTTTTTAGAATCTTTGGCAAAGGGTAAAGTCTACAAAACATAGCCCACTCTGTTCGTAACAAACAGAAAACTGTATTGAGATCAAATGTTTCATAGATGCGAAAATTAGCAGAATGTCAGTCAAAAACCATCTCGCTCCATCTTCTGCCACTGCCAGCCACTGGGCTTCCTCTCTCTACCATATTTGGTAGTGAATGGAAACGCCAAGCGGATGCTTCAGATTTATACAGTGGGGAAAAAAAGTATTTAGTCAGCCACCAATTGTGCAAGTTCTCCCACTTAAAAAGATGAGAGAGGCCTGTAATTTTCATCATAGGTACTATGACAGACAAAATGAGAAGAAAAAAAATCCAGAAAATCACATTGTAGGATTTTTAATGAATTTATTTGCAAATTATGGTGGAAAATAAGTATTTGGTCAATAACAAAAGTTTCTCAATACTTTGTTATATACCCTTTGTTGGCAATGACACAGGTCAAACGTTTTCTGTAAGTCTTCACAAGGTTTTCACACACTGTTGCTGGTATTTTGGCCCATTCCTCCATGCAGATCTCCTCTAGAGCAGTGATGTTTTGGGGCTGTCGCTGGGCAACACAGACTTTCAACTCCCTCCAAAGATTTTCTATGGGGTTGAGATCTGGAGTCTGGCTAGGCCACTCCAGGACCTTGAAATGCTTCTTACGAAGCCACTCCTTTGTTGCCCGGGCGGTGTGTTTGGGATCATTGTCATGCTGAAAGACCCAGCCACGTTTCATCTTCAATGCCCTTGCTGATGGAAGGAGGTTTTCACTCAAAATCTCACGATACATGGCCCCATTCATTCTTTCCTTGACACGGATCAGTCGTCCTGGTCCCTTTGCAGAAAAACAGCCCCAAAGCATGATGTTTCCACCCCCATGCTTCACAGTAGGTATGGTGTTCTTTGGATGCAACTCAGCATTCTTTGTCCTCCAAACACGACGAGTTGAGTTTTTACCAAAAAGTTCTATTTTGGTTTCATCTGACCATATGACATTCTCCCAATCCTCTTCTGGATCATCCAAATGCACTCTAGCAAACTTCAGACGGGCCTGGACATGTACTGGCTTAAGCAGGGGGACACGTCTGGCACTGCAGGATTTGAGTCCCTGGCGGCGTAGTGTGTTACTGATGGTAGGCTTTGTTACTTTGGTCCCAGCTTTCTGCAGGACATTCACTAGGTCCCCCCGTGTGGTTCTGGGATTTCTGCTCACCGTTCTTGTGATCATTTTGCTCACCGTTCTTGTGATCATTTTGACCCCACGGGGTGAGATCTTGCGTGGAGCCCCAGATCGAGGGAGATTATCAGTGGTCTTGTATGTCTTCCATTTCCTAATATTTGCTCCCACAGTTGATTTCTTCAAACCAAGCTGCTTACCTATTGCAGATTCAGTCTTCCCAGCCTGGTGCAGGTCTACAATTTTGTTTCTGGTGTCCTTTGACAGCTCTTTGGTCTTGGCCATAGTTGAGTTTTGAGTGTGACTGTTTGAGGTTGTGGACAGGTGTCTTTTATACTGATAACAAGTTCAAACAGGTGCCATTAATACAGGTAACGAGTGGAGGACAGAGGAGCCTCTTAAAGAAGTTGTTACAGGTCTGTGAGAGACAGAAATATTGCTTGTTTGTAGGTGACCAAATACTTATTTTCCACCATAATTTGCAAATAAATTCATAAAAAATCCTACAATGTGATTTTCTGGATTTTTTTCTCTCAATTTGTCTGTCATAGTTGACGTGTACCTATGATGAAAATTACAGGCCTCTCTCATCTTTTTAAGTGGGAGAACTTGCACAATTGGTGGCTGACTAAATACTTTTTTTCCCCCACTGTACATCTGGTGAAACATCTGGCTCATTGTGGCGCTAGGAGGGAATTACTAGATTACAATATAATATACTTTATAATGACACTCTGCAGGGTCCTAGAGGCTGTTATATGCCATGGGTTGGCTATTGTTTAGAAACAGAGGGTTGGTGAGATTAGATGAAGTTAGATTTTATTATACTTTATTAATCCCTAAGGGTTGTATGTAAAGACTTTTGTTCCAGCCAAGCGGTAACACAAACGATCACGATCAACTGATTGTCTTCATTCTAAACTTGTACTGTATATTGTATATTTTCTCTGTCGTTGTCCTCTGACTGACTTGACTGTCCTGTCTCCTTTCCTCCAGATCTGGAGCAGCCTTTCCTCAGGAGAAACAGAGGAAGCAACAATGACCTGGAGACCATCTTCATAACAGGATCCTCCACTCACATCACAGTACCTTGTCTAGTCACTGTCCCCGACCTCAACGTCACACTTTATCTGGTTGGTACCTTCTCTCACTCTCTCTCGGCTGTTCTCTACTCTACTCTTCTCTTCTCTCCATCTCTCTTTTCACCAATCTCCATCCATTCTCTTTATTTTCACAATAGTCATCCTCTCCTCCTCATTCACTCTCTCCTCCTCATTCACTCTCTCCTCCTCATTCACTCTCCTCTCCCCATTCACTCTCTCCTCCTCATTCACTCTCTCCTCCCCATTCACTCTCTCCTCCTCATTCACTCTCTCCTCCCCATTCACTCTCTCCTCCTCATTCACTCTCCTCCTCCTCATTCACTCTCTCCCTCCTCATTCACTCTCTCCTCCCCATTCACTCTCTCCTCCCCATTCACTCTCCCCTCCTCATTCACTCTCTCCTCATCATTCACTCTCTCCTCCCCATTCACTCTCTCCTCCTCATTCACTCTCTCCTCTCCCCATTCACTCTCTCCTTTCCTCATTCACTCTCTCCTCATCATTCACTCTCTCCTCCCCATTCACTCTCTCCTCCTCATTCACTCTCTCCTCTCCCCATTCACTCTCTCCTTTCCTCATTCACTCTCTCCTCCTCATCCCTCTCTCCTCTCCTCTCTCCCCAGTGGCAGACGCATCGTCTGGAGGATGAGGGGATGGTGTGGGACAGTAAAAGAGGCTGGTCCATCCCTAGACAGACCTTAGACTCTATACCTTTCCTCTTCGGGTTTTACTGCCTAGCTACCCTACAAGGGATAGAGTACCGCTCTATCCTCTACCTGGTGCACTCCACAGGTAACTATGTACTACCTAGTATACACTACCTAGTACACAGCCACCCTGCATGAAAAAGATTACCAGAACACACACTCTACCTAGTATACACTACTAGTACAGGTAGAGGCCTGAGTATCTACATACTACATGTCTCTCTATAGCATTAGAGATCCCACTCTCAACGGTCTAAAGTGGGAAACATAGGACACATTACAACATATTTATAAAATAAAGAGTAGGAGGGTAATTTAATTAAGGGAGAACTGAGACAACGATTCTTAGAAGCGCTCAGCACTCATGGCTGTCTTTCTGCCTGCTGTCTAAATGTCTGGTTGAGACTGAACTCTGTGAGACCTGTGGATCTGGAGTCCCAGTGTTATTGTATGAGATCACTCACCTCTCAGAAACTGCATCCCAAATGCCACACTATTCCCATACTTCTGACCATGGAATAGGGTGCCATTTGGGACTCACTTCTCAGAGTCTCTCAGTCCAGTCCTGAAGAGATTACCTTTAGCCACCGGCCCGGGCCAACAGAAACAGACTCATGGCTCTGAGGAAACAGCCTTCCATCACGTCATCACTCTTTACGCAGATGGAGCGTTAAGACAAACAGACGCTAGCTAGCTAGCTCACACCCAGTACAGATACAGTATCACCTTCATACAGACGCTAGCTAGCTAGCTCACACCCAGTACAGATACAGTATCACCTTCATACAGACGCTAGCTAGCTAGCTCACACCCAGTACAGATACAGTATCACCTTCATACAGACGCTAGCTAGCTAGCTCACACCCAGTACAGATACAGTATCACCTTCATACAGACGCTAGCTAGCTCACACACCAGTAACAGATACAGTATCACCTTCATACAGACGCTAGCTAGCTAGCTCACACCCAGTACAGATACAGTATCACCTTCATACAGACGCTAGCTACTAGCTCACACCCAGTACAGATACAGTATCACCTTCATACAGACGCTAGCTAGCTAGCTCAACACCCAGTACAGATACAGTATCACCTTCATAACAGACGCTAGCTAGCTCACACCCAGTACAGATACAGTATCACCTTCATACAGACGCTAGCTAGCTAGCTCACACCCAGTACAGATACAGTATCACCTTCATACAGACGCTAGCTAGCTCACACCCAGTACAGATACAGTATCACCTTCATACAGACGCTAGCTAGCTAGCTCACACCCAGTACAGATACAGTATCACCTTCATACAGACGCTAGCTAGCTAGCTCACACCCAGTACAAATACAGTATCACCTTCATACAGACGCTAGCTAGCTAGCTCACACCCAGTACAAATACAGTATCACCTTCATACAGACGCTAGCTAGCTAGCTCACACCCAGTACAAATACAGTATCACCTTCATACAGCGTCACACAGAGTTTTTAAGATTCCTCATTTTTTCCAATGAGAGCAGAGCGCTAAAACTTAAGTTTCACAATTAGAAAGATCTTGGCCGGGCGCTAATACTCTTAACGTTTTCCTAATGACAGGTGAAAGGACTGGATTAAGACCGTTTGTTTTCCCCTATCAAGTCCTCACAGATTAGGGGCGACAGTTTGAAAGGTGGACATTTCTACAGATTAGCTCAGCCTCGAGTCGACACAGCTAGCCCACTCCAGCCAAAAACAATGGCTGTGCCCTGTTCAAATACTTAGTTCAACCACCCTTCCTCCCTTAGTTGAAGTAATCACTGATCTGTAATGACTGGATAGGTGTAAAGCAATGCAACTTTCACTGACTCAATGTTGGTACATAGATAATTACTTCAAGGAAGAGAGAAAGTGAGGATGTGAGTTAAAAGTATGGGAACGGTGCCAGCGGCCAGGGACATGGTTGGGCCAGCCAAAGAGACTCAGCTTCTCTGGGCCAGCTCTGTTTGTCGTACACCGGGACGTCACTGTGGTGGTGTCGCGGTGACTGCTCTCACTTCCCCCCCCCCGACAGGAAGTCAGGTTTACGACGTCAAGCTGTATCCCGAGGACTCGGTGGAGCTGATCACGGGGGAAGCCCTGACGCTCAACTGTACCGCCACCGTAGAGTTTGACACGCCCGTCGAGTTCCAGTGGTCCTATCCTGGAAAACAGGTACGGTAGAGAAAAGCATAGTTTGCACACTTTACGGAGATCCAGGTAAATGTTAGGGAAAAAAACCTACATTTGAATGGACTAGAACCTATGGCAAGAGATCAGTGTAGCTGCTGCTCAGATTAAGCTAATTGACTGAAATACGACCAGAGATGGGCATTTAATTATATGCTTCTATATGTAGCTTGGATTAAGAGGAACTATCAATCAATCAAATGTATTTATAAAGGCCTTTTTACATCAGCAGATGTCACAAAGGTTAATAACTAGGTTAATAGATGGATATATGAGTATAGACTGTCTTGTTTATATGTCTTTAAATTTCTCAGTCTCTCTCTCTCCCCCTCTCTCTCTCTCTCTCACCTCTCTCTCTCCCCGCTCTCTCTCCCCCCCCCCTCCCTCTCTCTCTCTCCCCCCCCCCCCCCCTCTCTCCCCCCCCTCCCTCTCTCCCCCCTCTCTCTCTCTCTCTCTCTCTCTCTCTCTCTCTCTCCCTCTCTCCTCTCTCTCTCTCTCTCTCTCTCTCTCTCGTCTCTCTCTCTCTCTCTCTCTCTCTCTCTCGTCTCTCTCTCTCTCTCTCTCTCTCTTCCCTCTCTCCCACCTCTAGATGAACAGTACAGTGGGCATAGTGCACAAGCGTAACTCTCTCCCTCGGTTCACGGAGGCAGTCAGCATCCTGACCATCCAAAGCGTCAACGTCACCGACACCGGCACCTACACCTGCTCTGCCATCATTGTGGAGAAAATACAGGATCTGGCAACCCAAGTCATAGTGCATGGTAAGAACAAAGTTTGAAACCTGGGCCTTCTGTGTGCCAAAAGACTGCGTTAGCCCACTGAGCTAAAGCCTAGGTAATAAGAGATCTTGCCTAAGTCTTTCGGTTTCTTATTACGCAAGTATGCTTCACCAAACCTTCTCTGCTAATGTTTGCCCTCCTACGTTTGCGCGTGCGTGCGTGCGTGCGTGCGTGTGCGTGTGTGTGTGTGTGTGTCCTGTTGCAGAGAAGCCATTCATCAGCCTGGACTACAGGAGCGGCCCGGTCATCGAGGCAACATTAGGACAGAAGTCCTTAAAACTGTTAGTCAAGGTGTCAGCATACCCCACACCTGACATACAGTGGTAAGACCATCATGTTAACTATCTGACATGGAACATTGATGTCCGTTTAGCCAATCAGAGAACAGCATGCTGACATTCTGTGTTTAGCCAATCAGAGAACAGCATGCTGACATTCTGTGTTTAGCCAATCAGAGAACAGCATGCTGACATTCTGTGTTTAGCCAATCAGCTGCAGTTAGCTATTCTAGCTTGCTGATATCGATCTGACAAGTCCCAAAGTGTACCCTGTTTCTGGTGCATGTATTTAATAGTACTTGTTTGCTACATCAAGTTCAACTTTGTATTCCTTTTTGTTTGAATCTTCTCTCAGGTATAAAGGTGATAAGTTGATCAGCCGTCGTCCAGAGTTCAACAGGATGCGTCTCCATCAGCGCCATGCCTTAGAGATCAGAGACGTTCACCCTGAGGATGCTGGGAACTACACCGTCCTCCTCAAGAACACCGCCGCCCTGCTGGAGAGGAGACTCACCATCACACTCATCGTCAACGGTAACCATCGCCATAACCATCACACTCATCATCAACTGTAACCATCACCATAACCATCACCCTCATCGTCAACGGTAAACATCACCATAACCATCACACTCATTGTCAACTGTAACCATCACCATCACACTCATCGTCAACAGTAACTATCACCATCACCATCACACTCATCGTCAGCGGTAACTATCGCCATCACCATCACACTCATCGTCAAGGGTAACAAATAGAGAAATAAACTAATAACAAGAAACATTTACAAATAAACAACAGCACCTGCTGCATAGGAGGATCACCGTCAAACTATTGTCAGCGGTGTAGTTAAACACACACACACTCTCAGCGGTGTAGTTAAACACACACACTCTCAGCGGTGTAGTTAAACACGCACACACTCTCAGCGGTGTAGTTGAACACACACACACTCTCAGCGGTGTAGTTAAACACACACACACTCTCAGCGGTGTATTGAACCCCCCGGTGTAGTTAAACACCACACACTCTCAGCGGTGTAGTTGAACACACACACACTCTCAGCGGTGTAGTTAAACACACACACACTCTCAGCGGTGTAGTTGAACACACACACACTCTCAGCGGTGTAGTTAAACACACACACACTCTCAGCGGTGTAGTTAAACACACACACACTCTCAGCGGTGTAGTTAAACACACACCCCATCTCAGCGGTGTAGTTAACACACACACTCTCAGCGGTGTAGTTTAAACACACACCACTCTCAGCGTTGTAGTTGAACCACACACACTCTCAGCGGTGTAGTTAAACACACACACAACTCTCAGCGGTGTAGTTAAACACACACAACTCTCCGGTGTAGTTAAACACACCACTCTCAGCGGTGTAGTTAAACAACACACACTCTCAGCGGTGTAGTTAAACACACAACCTCTCAGCGTGTAGTTAAACAACACACACACTCATCAGCGGTGTAGTTAAACACACACACACTCTCAGCGGTGTAGTTAAACACACACACACTCTCAGCGTGTAGTTGAAACAACAACACACTCTCACGGTTGTAGTTAAAACACACACACACTCTCAGCGGTGTAGTTTAAACACACACACACTCTCAGCGGTGTAGTTGAACACACACACCTCTCAGCGGTGTATTAAACACACACACTCTCAGCGGTGTAGTTGAACACACACACACTCTCAGCGGTGTAGTTAAACACACACTCAGCGGTGTAGTTAAACACACACACACTCTCAGCGGTGTAGTTGAACACACACACACTCTCAGCGGTGTAGTTGAACACACACACACTCTCAGCAGTGTAGTTAAACACACACACACTCTCAGCGGTGTAGTTGAACACACACACCCCTCTCAGCGGTGTAGTTGAACACACACACACTCTCAGCGGTGTAGTTAAACACACACTCTCAGCGGTGTAGTTGAACACACACACCTCTCAGCGGTGTAGTTAAACACACCACACACTCTCAGCGGTGTAGTTAAACACACACAACACTCTCACGGTGTAGTTGAACACACACACACTCTCAGCGGTGTAGTTAAACACACACACCTCTCAGCGGTGTAGTTAACACAACAACACTCTCAGCTGTCGGGTAAGGTTAAACACCAAACACTCTCAGCGGTGTAGTTGAACAACAACACACAACTCGCAGCGGTGGTAGTTGAAACACACACACACTCGCAGCGGTGTAGTTGACACACACACACTCCAGCGGTGGTAGTTAAACACACACACACCTCAAGCGGTGTAGTTGAAAAACACACAACACACTCCAGCGGTGTAGTTTGAAGCCACACACCCGGTAGTTGAACACACACAACCTCTCAGCGGTTGGAGTTAAAACACACACAGACACGCTCAGCGGTGTAGTTGAACACACAACACTCTCAGCTGTGTAGTTAAAACAACCACACACTCTCACAGCGGTGTAGTTAAAACACACACTCGTCAGCGGTGGAGTTGAACACACACACACTCTCAGGCGGTGTAAGTTAAACACCACCTCTCAGCGGTGTTAGTTTGAAACACACACACACTCTCAGCGGTAGTTAAACACACACACACCTCAGCGGTGTAGTTAAACACACACACACTCTCAGCGGTGTAGTTAAACACACACTCTCAGCGGTGTAGTTGAACACACACACACTCTCAGCGGTGTAGTTAAACACACACACACTCTCAGCGGTGTAGTTAAACACACACACACTCTCAGCGGTGTAGTTGAACACACACACACTCTCAGCGGTGTAGTTAAACACACACACACTCCAAGCGGTGTAGTTAAACACACACACACTCTCAGCGGTGTAGTTGAACACAACACACTCTCAGCGGTGTAGTTTAAACACACACACTCTCAGCGGTGTAGTTGAACACACACACTCTCAGCGGTGTAGTTAAACACACACACTCTCAGCGGTGTAGTTGAACACACACTCTCAGCGGTGTAGTTGAACACACACACACTCTCAGCGGTGTAGTTAAACACACACACACTCTCAGCGGTGTAGTTAAACACACACACTCTCAGCGGTGTAGTTGAACACACACACACACTCTCAGCGGTGTAGTTAAACACACACACACTCTCAGCGGTGTAGTTGAACACACACACACACTCTCAGCGGTGTAGTTAAACACACACTCTCAGCGGTGTAGTTGAACACACACACACTCTCAGCGGTGTAGTTAAACACACACTCTCAGCGGTGTAGTTAAACACACACACACTCTCAGCGGTGTAGTTGAACACACACTCTCAGCGGTGTAGTTGAACACACACACACTCTCAGCGGTGTAGTTAAACACACACACTCTCAGCGGTGTAGTTAAACACACACACACTCTCAGCTGTGTAGTTAAACACACACTCTCAGCGGTGTAGTTGAACACACACACTCTCAGCGGTGTAGTTAAACACACACACACTCTCAGCGGTGTAGTTGAAAACACACACTCTCAGCGGTGTAGTTAAACACACACACTCTCAGCGGTGTAGTTGAACTGAGTTTGATTTATTTTGCCAAAAAGTTCAAGCTTCAAGCTAAATCAAGTAGTTGTAAATATTATATGTATTTATTTGACCAAGGTCTGATACTCTGATTACACTCTCCCCCATCGCTCTACCTTCCCCTCTCTCTCCCATCGCTCTACCTTCCCCCTCTCTCCCCCATCGCTCTACCTTCCCCATCTCCCCCATCGCTCTACCTTCCCCCTCTCTCCCCCACCTCCCCCATTGCTCTACCTTTCCCCTCACTCCCCCTCCTCCCCCATCGCTCTACCTTCCCCCTCTCTCTCCCATCTACACTTTCCCCTCTCTCCCCCACGCTCTACTTACCTTCCCCATCTCCCCCATCGCTCTAAAACTCCCTCCCTCTCCCCCACCTCCCCCATTGCTCTACCTTTCCCCTCCTCCCCTCCTCCCCCCTATCGTCATCCCCTCCCCCTCCTCCCCCATCGATCCTCCTTCCCCCTCCTCCCCATCGCTCTCAAACTACCTCCCCCTCTCTCCCCCTCCTCCCCCATTGCTCTAACCTTCCCCCTCTCTCCCCCTCCCCCCCATCGCTCTAAACCTTCCCCCTCTCTCCCCCTCCTCCCCCATCGCTCTAACCTTCCAAACCTTCCCCCTCTCTCCCCCTCCTCCCCCTCGCTCTATACTCCTTCCCCCTCTCCCCCTCCTCCCCCATCGCTCTAACACCTTCCCCCTCTCCTCCCCCTCCTCCCCCCATCGATCTAACCTTCCCCTCCTCCCTCCTCCCCCATCCTCTAACCCTTCTCCCCCTCTCTCCCCTCCTCCCCCCTCACTCTAACTAACCTTCCCCCTCTCTCTCCTCCTCCTCCCCCTCCTCTAACCTCCCTCCTCCCCTCCTCCCACCATCCTTACCTCCCCCCTCCCCCCTCTCTCCCCCATCAGCTCTAAAAACACTTCCCCCTCTCTCCCTCCCTCCCATCGCTCTAACCTCCCCCTCTCTCCCCCCCTCCTCCCACATCACCTAAACTTCCCCCTCTCTCACACCCTCTCCCCCTCGACTCTACTACCTTCCCCCTCTCCACCCTCCTCCCCCGTCGCTCTAACCCCCCCACCCTCAGTTTCCCCCTCAGATCCATGAGAAGGAAATAGCGGCCCCCTCTAACCCATATCGCCATGGCAGCAGACAGACCCTCACCTGTACAGGGTACGGACGCCCCGCCCCCAACATCACCTGGCAGTGGAGGGCATGGAGCCCCTGTGGCCTCAACAGCACCCCACGCCTGTAAGACACACCCACACCTGTAAGACACACCCACACCTGTAAGACACACCCACACCTATAAGACACACCCACACACCTGTAAGACACACCCACACCTGTAAGACACACCCAAACACCTGTAAGACACACCCACACCTGTAAGACACATCCACACTTGTAAGACACACCCACACCTGTAAGACAAACACACCTGTAAGACACACCCACACCTGTAAGACACACCCACACTTGTAAGACACACCCACACCTGTAAGGTAAGGTGTAGTTTTGTAGTTGCGTATTAAACCATTTGGTGACAGTTTTTTCTTTCTTCGTGTACAGCGAGATGAGGCTGCTAATGTGTGTGTGTGTGTGTGTGTGTGTGTGTGTGTGTGTGTGTGTGTGTGTGTGTGTGTGTGTGTGTTTCTGTGTGTGTGTGTGTGTGTGTGTGCCCGGGGGTATTTCTAGGTGTGTGTGAGGAGAGGAGTGATGTGTGGACTAACTAACTAACAACAGGATGTATGGAGGCACAGAGGGCAGCGTAGCATCACACATCCTCTGACTCGGATACACACAGATACACACTCACTAAGCTTTAACCCTGCTAGATTCACTCCACCAACCAGATACACACTCACTAAGCTTTAACCCTGCTAGATTCACTCCACCAACCAGATACACACTCACTAAGCTTTAACCCTGCAACATTCACTCCACCAACCAGATACACACTCACTAAGCTTTAACCCTGCTAGATTCACTCCACCAACCAGATACACACTCACTAAGCTTTAACCCTGCTAGATTCACTCCACCAACCAGATACACACTCACTAAGCTTTAACCCTGCTAGATTCACTCCACCAACCAGATACACACTCACTAAGCTTTAAACCTGCAACATTCACTCCACCAACCAGATACACACTCACTAAGCTTTAACCCCGCAACATTCACTCCACCAACCAGATACACACTCACTAAGCTTTAAACCTGCAACATTCACTCCAACCAACCAGATACACACTCACTAAGCTTTAAACCTGCAACATTCACTCCACCAACCAGATACACACTCACTAAGCTTTAAAACCTGCAACATTCACTCCACCAACCAGATACACACTCACTAAGCTTTAACCCTGCTAGATTCACTCCACCAACCAGATACACACTCACTAAGCTTTAACCCCGCAACATTCACTCCACCAACCAGATACACACTCACTAAGATACACACTCACTAAGCTTTAACCCTGCTAGATTCACTCCACCAACCAGATACACACTCACTAAGCTTTAAACCTGCAACATTCACTCCACCAACCAGATACACACTCACTAAGCTTTAACCTGCTAGATTCACTCCCCAACCAGATACACACCACTAAGCTTTAAACCTGCAACATTCACTCCACCAACCAGATACACACTCACTAAGCTTTAAACCTGCAACATTCACTCCACCAACCAGATACACACTCACTAAGCTTTAAACCTGCAACATTCACTCCACCAACCAGATACACACTCACTAAGCTTTAACCCTGCTAGATTCACTCCACCAACCAGATACACACTCACTAAGCTTTAACCCTGCTAGATTCACTCCACCAACCAGATACACACTCACTAAGCTTTAACCCCTGCTAGATTCACTCCACCAAACCAGATACACACTCACTAAGCTTTAAACCCCGCAACATTCACTCCACCAACCAGATACACACTCACTAAGCTTTAACCCTGCAACATTCACTCCACCAACCAGATACACACTCACTAAGCTTTAAAACCTGCAACATTCACTCCACCAACCAGATACACACTCACTAAGCTTTAACCCTGCAACATTCACTCCACCAACCAGATACACACTCACTAAGCTTTAACCCTGCAACATTCACTCCACCAACCAGATACACACTCACTAAGCTTTAACCCCGCAACATTCACTCCACCAACCAGATACACACTCACTAAGCTTTAACCCCGCAACATTCACTCCACCAACCAGATACACACTCACTAAGCTTTAACCCTGCTAGATTCACTCCACCAACCAGATACACACTCACTAAGCTTTAACCCTGCTAGATTCACTCCACCAACCAGATACACACTCACTAAGCTTTAACCCTGCTAGATTCACTCCACCAACCAGATACACACTCACTAAGCTTTAAACCTGCAACATTCACTCCACCAACCAGATACACACTCACTAAGCTTTAACCCTGCTAGATTCACTCCACCAACCAGATACACACTCACTAAGCTTTAACCCTGCAACATTCACTCCACCAACCAGATACACACTCACTAAGCTTTAACCCTGCTAGATTCACTCCACCAACCAGATACACACTCACTAAGCTTTAACCCTGCTAGATTCACTCCACCAACCAGATACACACTCACTAAGCTTTAACCCCGCAACATTCACTCCACCAACCAGATACACACTCACTAAGCTTTTAACCCTGCAACATTCACTCCACCCAACCAGATACACACTCACTAAGCTTTAACCCCCGCAACATTCACTCCACCAACCAGATACACACTCACTAAGCTTTAACCCTGCTAGATTCACTCCACCAACCAGATACACACTCACTAAGCTTTAACCCCGCAACATTCACTCCACCAACCAGATACACACTCACTAAGCTTTAACCCCGCAACATTCACTCCACCAACCAGATACACACTCACTAAGCTTTAACCCTGCTAGATTCACTCCACCAACCCAGATACACACTCACTAAGCTTTAACCCTGCTAGATTCACTCCACCAACCAGATACACACTCACTAAGCTTTAACCCTGCTAGATTCACTCCACCAACCAGATACACACTCACTAAGCTTTAACCCTGCTAGATTCACTCCACCAACCAGATACACACTCACTAAGCTTTAACCCTGCAACATTCACTCCACCAACCAGATACACACTCACTAAGCTTTAACCCTGCTAGATTCACTCCACCAACCAGATACACACTCACTAAGCTTTAACCCTGCAACATTCACTCCACCAACCAGATACACACTCATAAGCTTTAACCCTGCTAGATTCACTCCACCAACCAGATACACACTCACTAAGCTTTAACCCTGCTAGATTCACTCCACCAACCAGATACACACTCACTAAGCTTTAACCCCGCAACATTCACTCCACCAACCAGATACACACTCACTAAGCTTTAACCCTGCAACATTCACTCCACCAACCAGATACACACTCACTAAGCTTTAACCCTGCTAGATTCACTCCACCAACCAGATACACACTCACTAAGCTTTAACCCTGCTAGATTCACTCCACCAACCAGATACACACTCACTAAGCTTTAACCCTGCTAGATTCACTCCACCAACCAGATACACACTCACTAAGCTTTAACCCTGCTAGATTCACTCCACCAACCAGATACACACTCACTAAGCTTTAACCCCGCCAACATTCACTCAACCAACCAGATACACACTCACTAAGCTTTAACCCCGCAACATTCACTCCACCAACCAGATACACACTCACTAAGCTTTAACCCTGCAACATTCACTCCACCAACCAGATACACACTCACTAAGCTTTAACCCCGCAACATTCACTCCACCAACCAGATACACACTCACTAAGCTTTAAACCTGCAACATTCACTCCACCAACCAGATACACACTCACTAAGCTTTAACCCTGCTAGATTCACTCCACCAACCAGATACACACTCACTAAGCTTTAACCCTGCTAGATTCACTCCACCAACCAGATACACACTCACTAAGCTTTAACCCCGCAACATTCACTCCACCAACCAGATACACACTCACTAAGCTTTAACCCCGCAACATTCACTCCACCAACCAGATACACAACTCACTAAGCTTTAACCCTGCAACATTCACTCCACCAACCAGATACACACTCACTAAGCTTTAACCCCGCAACATTCACTCCACAACCAGATACACACTCACTAAGCTTTAACCCTGCAACATTCACTCCACCAACCAGATACACACTCACTAAGCTTTAACCCCGCCAACATTCACTCCACCAACCAGATACACCACTCACTAAGCTTTAACCCTGCTAGATTCACTCCACCAACCAGATACACACTCACTAAGCTTTAACCCCGCAACATTCACTCCACCAACCAGATACACACTCACTAAGCTTTAAACCTGCAACATTTCACTCCACCAACCAGATTACACACTCACTAAGCTTTAACCCTGCTAGATTCACTCCCACCAACCAGATACACACTCACTAAGCTTTAACCCTGCTAGATTCACTCCACCAACCAGATACACACTCACTAAGCTTTAACCCCGCAACATTCACTCCACCAACCAGATACACACTCACTAAGCTTTAACCCCGCAACATTCACTCCACCAACCAGATACACACTCACTAAGCTTTAACCCCGCAACATTCACTCCACCAACCAGATACACACTCACTAAGCTTTAACCCTGCTAGATTCACTCCACCAACCGATACACACTCACTAAGCTTTAACCCCGCAACATTCACTCCACCAACCAGATACACACTCACTAAGCTTTAACCCCGCAACATTCCACTCCACCAACCAGATACACACTCACTAAGCTTTAACCCTGCTAGATTCACTCCACCAACCAGATACCACACTCACTAAGCTTTAACCCCGCAACATTCACTCCACCAACCAGATACACACTCACTAAGCTTTAAACCTGCAACATTCACTCCACCAACCAGATACACACTCACTAAGCTTTAAACCTGCAACATTCACTCCACCAACCAGATACACACTCACTAAGCTTTAACCCCGCAACATTCACTCCACCAACCAGATACACACTCACTAAGCTTTTAAACCTGCAACATTCACTCCACCAACCAGATACACACTCACTAAGCTTTAACCCCGCAACATTCACTCCACCAACCAGATACACACTCACTAAGCTTTAAACCTGCAAACATTCACTCCACCAACCAGA